GAGGAAAGAAGATTTTTTTCCCGTGGGAGTCTCGAAGGATTTGAGTCGACAGTATTTTGCTTCACTTTACAGAAGATTGGCCGTTCATTGGCTTCCTGGTGCGATCCAGAGAGTGTATTTACTTGTGGCAATTACACGGAGAATACACTCAACTTTTATTTAGTTTGAATATAAAGTTTTTTGCTTTTTGTTAATATACTTAAAATTGCTCTGCTGCGATGATAACGTTGGCACGAATACTTCAAATGTTATATGTTTTCTAAAAATCTGTATTCATTGCTCTTATTTGCTTGTTAACAAATATTTAACAAGGATCTGTTGTGTTGTCGACATCAGAGCCGATATGCCTTATTTGCTACTTTACACATTGTGACACTGTTGCCGGTAAAACAACCTTTGACCTGTTTGGTCAAGCAGCAGACTGCACCGATATTATTATTACTGCATAACACACAGACCTTTTGACTGCTGTCTTTGCAGGATAAACTAATCCTCATTATGCTGCATGTATTTGACCTGTTAGGTTAAAGAAGAAGTGTCACTGAATGTCGTTAAACCTAGAAAACATTTAACAAAAACAAACAGGGGCAACATTGCTAACCAACAGAATGTGTCAACATGGCTGCCCCTTTGACAGGTTTCAACCCTTTGTATATTTGATGAGAGAAGCTGGATGCTAAGATACTGCAGTAGGTGTATGTCAGTAGATTAAGAAATTTACCGACACACTTTTGACATCACTCTGGCTGTGAGATTTTGTACTTCTGTGTTTTACAACTACTGATCCCAAGAGATTTAAACAGCTAAAAAAACAAGCCAGTCAACCAACTGAAAGCTGCGCTGTCAATTGGGTAAAGAAAAAAAAACAGATATGAAAAAATATTCCAAAGGATTTGCTTATCAGGCCAGTTGGTTCTTTATGGACACTCCAGAGCTCATGGGTCCAACTCACCACTGGATGTGGACGGTACAAGCAATGACTGTTTATAAAGATGGATGACATGTCTCCACTTCCTCCCACTGTACAAACATTAAGCCAAAAATGTTGCGGATACAGGAGTCTGTGCAGTAGTGGATGGAGTTGAGCTGTGGCTGCAGAGTCCCACTGATACACCCACTTACTTTGCCTTTTTATTGTGCTCCATGTTCCATCTGCTAACATGGAGGATGTGGGGTTTAGGACCTTTACTGCAGCCAGGGGGGCAATCACAATGTTTTGGCTTCACTTCTGTGGAGCTGTCATGTCGTCCATCTTTTTATTGATTGCAAGTATTTTAATGTTTGTTTAAAAAAAAAAAAAAGCAGGAAGAGTTGGTTCTGGGAGTTTGTTCTGAATGATGTGGTTTTCTCTGTGTCACACTAGAGACTCAGCTGCCAATGAGGACAGCACTGTGAGTCATTCACATTCTTTGCCACATTTGTTTATTGACTCCATTGAGCCCACACTATCTGGGCAACATTATGGCAAGAGGGAGCAGATGGACAATTGTTAAATACTGCTGCATCACAATAACACGGCCCCATTGACAAACCAACTACCGTTCCACTGTTCTACTATTCCCTCTGAAATCAAACACTATATGAGATGATGTATTTCAAGTGTTCCTCATTTAAAAATAAGCCTTGATCTTATTTGCATAGACTAGTCCCCCTTTTTGACCAGTGTGATAGTTCTCTCTATTGTCTTCAGTGTAAAAAAGTAAAATTCATAATAATATTGTTGCTGTTGTTGTAACTAATCTTCTGGGAACCATTATCTTTTGAAATTCCATGGCAGTCTCCCCATACTTGTTATATTGCACTTTACAGTTGAGTTGACATTCACCCATTCACACACACACGAGGCTTCTATATCTAAGCCCTTTCTATATCAATCATTCATCTCATTCACATGCTGCCAGCAATTTGCCAGTAATCAGTAGCAATTCAGGGTTCAATGTCTTGCCCAAGGACACGGTGGCTTTGAGGAGCCAGGAATCAAACCACTGACCCTCTGATTAGCGATCGACCTGCTCTGTCCTCCGGCTGCCCAAATTAGTAGTGTGGACCAAATTAGTAGACTGTTGGCCAATGTCCAAAAGACATGCCATGGCTCGAATATTCTGTAGTCTATCCCCACAGAATGATCCTTTCTATTTGTGACAGGCATATGGTGGACAAGGCAGACAGCAATGAAACTACAACTCTGACTGCATTAAACATTCATCAGTTTTACAAGCTCCTCCAAACCATTTGCACAAATGGAATATCCAAGATCCTATTGTTTTAGTTTGTTAAAAAAATAAATAAATCATGTTTTAATTCCAGAAAAGAAATTGTCTCTTGTTTGATCACAGTCACCGGATGTGTTATGTATCACCTGTTATCCCACGTTGAGGGGAGCTGGTGAGAGATGTTAGCAGACATCCACTGTGGTAGTGCTGCATTACACATGCCGACATGCTGTCCTCATAATCTCCATGCCATCTGGTGGGGGACCTCTCCGTCCCCTTGCACCTATGGCACATTAGTATTCCTCTCACACTGAGCCAGGGAGGCCAGTGTGTGTGTGTGTGACATTCCTCAGAAACATAAAACAGTCAACACCGGTGAGGATTAATGTAACGGCTACAGGGTCCACCTCCAACAAACCTGGCTCGTCTCAGGTAATGACAATGCTTTAATCTTCCTCTGTGTTGTCCTTGCTCGTGTGCATTACAGCCCCCTGACAAAGTCACAACCATCTCACGTTGTCACCAAGTGTAACTAAGAATTTTGACGACAAGATTTTCACCGGCAAGAGTGAAATTCCTCTGATTTAAAAAAGACAATTCCATCTTTTGGAAAATAACCCGTAAAAAATAATTTGAAACAATGTGGAATGAAAGTCAGAATTTTTCGGTCGACTGAACCTTGGCAGCTGCAAATTCACAATCTTCTCCTTTTCTGTGTTGATTACAGTAACAGCTGCAGTTCACCAAGTCACGTAGCTTCAGGCGGGTCCTCCCTGGTTCTTTGGCTCAGATGTTTAGTTGGTAAGAAAAGCCAGTCAGCAATCAGCAAGATTGGGCCTCTCTTCGACTGGTGCTTCAAACGGTGTTCCCAGTGTTCAGCGCAGGCTCTGATCAAAGACCGATCCGTTCCTTTTCAAATCCACATGGCCTCTCATTAGTGCCACACCGCGAGGAGACTGATCCGACAGGAATCGACTCGAGCACTGTTATTTCCAGTTTTAAGTTTGAGTACTGTGCTGAGGTTTCTGGGTGTTGTACTTGTGCTGTCACGATGGTAATTATATTAATTTATTATTAAAGTAAGATCGATTTCAAAGACCAGTGAAGGAGAGTGATGCAATTGAGCTTTTTTTTGGGCTGTGAGACTTTCTGGATAGTCATCCAACCCTTCTCAAAGATCAGGATTTTAGGGTAAAATATCTGCAATATGTAAAAACTTAACCAGTAGCATTAATTTTGGAATTATTAGACGATTTTAATATTAGTAACAGCTGTGAATGGGCAGGGATGCATATAGATGTAGATGTGTCAGTAAAGTATTGAACTGCCATCAGCCTGCGGGCTACAGATAATCCCTGACCTGATATGATAGACGCGGACATTTGCTTTCAGACCAAATTGGGTTGAGACCCTGTGACTATGAAGGCGTACAGCGTATCATTCACATCTGTTCATACTCATTTCATTCATCATGTTTCTCCACTTAGTTATTCAGGTTTTTCGTTTTTAATTTGGCTCTCGTCTATATTTGCACACCTGTGTGGTCTTACACTGCAGGGTAAATACAATATGTAAATCTGGAAACATCTGAAAATTCAGTAAATGTGCGGTGGGTTCTCGCCAACAGTCGCTCTATGTATTTAGAATCCTCAATATTTTCTGTTTATTGGTTATTTTATCTTTCCCTTGCACCTGTCTTGGTTAAATTTCCCCTCGTCGGACCAATAGAGTTCATTTTAATCTTCATAAAAACCTTTTTAGACCCGGTATAGTTTCGTTCTGCGTAGTGGTGTTGAAGAAGTCTCAGTCATATACCATACATCCATACGTTTGTGAGTCCTATACAACTTACCTTGCTGGATTCACTTGGAAACGGAAAGGTGGACACACAGATGTCCTGTTTTCAACGTAAATGAGGCAGAAATAAAGAATTGTACTTGCCTCGTCTGCTGCCCTGCTTCATTTCCAGCCACAAACCCGGTGGCCATAGCTGCGGTACAAAACAGTGTAGTGGCGTTACTTTTGTGGTGGTAGCCTATGGGTGTGGTATTAAGTGCATGAGGGTAAATACTGAAAGCAGACTGCTTTGCCACGTCATTGGACAATCTCACAAAGTGCTTCAACCATTAACAACTTCTGATAACACCCTTTTTCACCCACAGTGTTCCTGCTCCATCACCAAACCTTCATCCGTTGTCGCCTACTCACTTTGCAGCAACATTGTGAAGATACTTGAAGAAACTTGAGAACAAAAGAAGAAAATGTTGGGAAGGGATGCAGGGGGAAGTGTGGAGTACTTTCTCCCCCCTGTTGCACCATCTTAACCTCCCGCCACCACCCAACCATTAAAACCAGGTGCCAGTTTGGATGTCGTCGCCGACACACTCGAAGATCGGCCACCAAAAGACACCTGGAGGAAAAAATCGTCAGCTATTCGTAATAGATGTGGCTGTTTTTAGGTTTGACGTATGGAGGGCTGTTAACCAGGTGCACGATTTTGTCCGCTCTAAAAAACAGGATGAAAAGCATGCTACAGGTGTCTGTTGCCATGGAGATACGTTTGTAAGATGTAAATCGAACATCTTTGGTGTTTACACTTATACTTATGAGTATTTTGTACCTTATATCATAGACAACAATATGCAACATTTTCTTTGTGGTGGGAATGGATTGAGAAGTACAAAGCCCTTAATTAACACTGTTATCTTAGTCTTTATTTTGTCACAATTGTAGAGAAACAACATAGAGATGACACACTATTTTGGTTTCTAAGTAGAAGCTCCTCTTTAAATAGTGGCATTTTTTTTTTTTTCCAATACACTATCAAGCTCCCACTCCAGTCACGGATTTGTTTTTCCTTATTGAGTCACATTTATTCACACTGTGTGTTGATTTGTCTCTTTGTCTTTGTAATTATATGTCTTTTTGTTTGTGTCTGTCCCTCTGCAGTTCAATCTGTGCACATTCCTTCAAGATCGACTGCAATCTGTTATTGGTCCGCGTGGCCACACAGATAGTCCCACCTGCTAACCATCCTGTGCCACCAGCAAAGGTATACAGTTATTGGAAACAGTGTCTATGAAGCCTTTACAGAGTTAATCCGATCAGCTCGTGGAGGGCTTGGCATAAGCGTTTCCAGTTCCTCTGCAGCTGGGTCCTCTGGTGGCCAAGGAGCAGTTTGCGCCTCCGTACATGAGAGATGTCTGACCTTGGCACTGCCCCTGGGCTTCTCTTTGGCCTGCTGCCTTCCATCCTCTGGTCCCGCTGCCTGTGTGCAGAGCTCTGGCTGAATATTGGACGCTTTTCCATTCCGACTCCTGCACACTTCCAGTCTCGAGAGTGTTTCTGCCACCGTGTTGGATCTCGTTGTGAGAGCCAGACATTTTCACGGAGCTGGAAAGGCTTTTCTGTTTTAATTCCTGCACGAGTTCCACTGTAATTTCAGCGGAGCAGGGTGTTTGTGCAGAGCTGGGATTCCTCCATGGACCAAGCGGAGCCGCGGCGGTGGCAGGAGGGCTAACACTGCTGGGCATAACACCAGGCGGCAGCACCACAGTCTCACAGGGGAGAGAGGGAGAATTGCTAATGGGCACTGCTGTCTTTCCAGCCAGCACAGGATGCCACTTGAGGAGCCCGCCTTGGTTCCGCTCGCTCGAATCCACACGCCCCGCTTCAGGGTCAGTCGCTTGGAGGGAGGGGATGATGGGCACGGAGCGGGTGCGAAGGGAAGGTGGTAGGAAAGTTGTTCCCTTATCCAGGCGGGTGCAGGGAACCTCGGTCCATCCTTTTTTGGCTGCAAATTGGGAGAGTGAGGTCCTGCTGAGGAGGGCGCCGACCCTTCCACTGGCAGAATCACACCTTTAGATAGACGAGAGAACAGAAATAGTAAGAATGAGACCAGATAATTTATACTGTGACCTTTTTTGTCCTGCACACTCATATCCGAAGTGGAATAAAAGAGTATGGAGATAAAGCTGCGATTCTCCTGTGCTTTTCACCATTTAATTTCAGTCCCAGCAAAAACCATCTTGCTCCAACAAAATTATTATTATTTATGTATTGTTCTCTCATAATCTTTGTGTAATTATTTATAATCCCCAGCAAGAGCAGCCTTTATTGTTGCTGCATGAATGCTTAACTGAAAAAATCCCCTCTGTCATGACTGCCTTATCAGAGATTTAAGGCTTTAGCAACACAGCTGCTGGATTCCTGACCCTGGCCCAGGTGAGTATATGGAAAAATAATATATCGCCTCTGTGCTTCACATGTCGTTCTAATTTTAGTATCTGAAGGTCTCATTAGACTATCTCACAGAGCGCGTCTCATCTGACAGGCTTATGATGTGACATTTGAGGTGAATGTAGGTGTGTTCGTGGGCGTGAGAATCTAAGATTGTATGTTTGCATGATAATGAACCCTGCGCGTCGTGGAGCGTTGCCTACGAGCTCTGAAAGCATCATGGTTAATCTGAAAATGATAGCGAGAAACTTATTCAGAGTCACGCAGATACGTTTGTATATACACGAGTTAATATTGTCACTAAAGTCTCCGTTTGCATTTAGAATCTGCGCGGCGCAGCCTTAGGAGACCGCCAGTGTTACTGTCAGCTCTCAGAGACTGTTTGTAGCATAACCAAGTTTAAATAATTAAATTACTTTCCCACTCCTCCCTCGGTATTAGAAGGATGAATGCAAGCTGGAGGTAAATCTAGCAGATCAAAACACATCTAAAAATAACTCCAATCGCAAATTTGCCTTCAATTCTGTCCTTATCTGTGATGGGTAAATATATGTTTTGACAGGGGATAATTAAAACGACGATACTCTACAGGGGTTTGTTGTTTTCAAGACTTTTTCTTTCTGCCTCCATCTTTCCTCTGCCTCACTCTCATCATCTCTGCACAATCTCCCTTCTTTCCTCACTTTCCATCTTGCGTTCTCTCACTCTCCTTTCCACCTCCCATTTCTCATTTCCCAGAGATGAGAGGGTGTATCCATGGCAACAAGGGAGAGGTGGGGGCAGGAGGAGGAAGAGGAGGAGGAGGCTGTAAGCTTGGTAGCTTGGTGTTGCATGGCTGCTAAGTCGAGAAATAGGTCATTTCAACCTCCTGAAGGCCAGGGAAAGCCAGATCCGACTGATGGATCTGCGAGGGAAGCATCAATAGCTAATTAGATCTAAACTGTTTCACCAGGCAAATGCAGTCTTATGGCCAAAAGGATGAGAAGCCCTTTCTTTAGAGCTGTTCTCCTAAACACTTAAAAAAGCTGTGTTAGGTTGTATTGCTCTATAACACACTCATTTGGCTTTTGTGATTTAGAAAAATAAGTTAGTTTGTTATTCTGCGTGTGTGTGTGTGTGTTTGTGAGAGGAGGGAGCCTGTTGTGGTCCTGGAGGATTTCTCTGCACAACCATTTCAAAGAACTGCTGAGCCACATGGAGCTTTGTTTAAAAATGTAAATTATGGAAATAGGTCACATAAAGACTTTTGGCAGCGTGCAGTGTATCTTCCGAGTCACTGTAAGCCTCAGTCAGGTTGGCAGGCTAACAGCAACATGCTGCACTTTAAGTGCACCGCCTTCAGTGACCCTTCCTGATAACAGCGGCATCACTCAAGTATCACACACTGACAGCACGGCTGTTTCTGAGCCATATGCTAAAAAGGACTGGCCCACACTGAAAGACTCTTACATCTGTAAATAAGTTCTAAAATAAAAGAAATGTTCTCCAGTAATACTTGTTTACTACAGATTTCAGGGCGTTATACATCAATCAATATTATTTATAATCTTTTTTTAATTGATGTGAAATAATGGGAAACTTCGTCTCTACGTAAGTAAACTCCTCCCTCCTTTAAGACAACGAAAAAAACCACACCCAAACATCTTGTCTTTGATAACAAAGAGGATTCCTCACTAGGCTACCTCTCTGAACCGATGCCAGTGAGGATGATCAGACTGTGCTTTTAAAATGTAAGTTATTTTGAGCCCCCAGATCGCCAACTGGCGATAGGTGGCTCTGCCAAAAAAAAGTCCTTCCTGCTTTTAAATCCCCAGAAACGGCGCCAGTAGCTGTGCTTCACTTGTGAGAGCCGTGGAAATGGGGCAACTTGCTGTCCTCACTCGACTCCAGGACGAGCATGAGGAGAATTCAAGATGTGTGAATGCCTGAAATTAATCCTTTGCAATTTGTAGCCTTGTTCTAGAGGGCTGCAGATGCACAGTATGGTGCCATATTCAGCAAGTAAATTAAATTGTAAAATTTAATTATTTCTTTGATATGTGGACCATGAAACTTTCACATCATTTTCCAAGAATGAACCAAAATCAAACCAAGGCAAAGCTTCAAATTCATGATAACTTCAGTCAATCTGGTAATTAGTTGTGGCACAGTTGTTTAACCAAAATAAAACACATTTCATTCACAGCAGCAGCCCCGGCTGCAAGTGTAGAGAGGATTCCACACACAGCCTCATGTCTTGGACTTCCCCAGCACCATGATACTGTTGAGCGGTTGGGATCAAGTGTATTTCTCAAATTAATTGTGACAGTCCCAGTTGAAGGAGAGCAGAGCAGATCTCATTTATTTCCCTGGATCAGATTTCATAAGCTTGCGAATTTGATCCGAGAGCATTTCAGTCATAAACTAATTTCGCCCCCCAAAATTATTCCTCTGCCACTCCAACTTAACCTCAGTTAATCTTGGCTGAACTGGCAATTTGACCTCAGCCAGGGGAGCGAAAGAGAGAATTTCCTCCCTGTGGATTGAACAAATATGAGAAAACTAAGAATTAGACAAAAGCTTTCACCTTCTTAAAGACTCCATGTCTGTTGACTCATCCTCCTGCAAGTGTTTGTAGACATGTCCGACCACTCGGGATCCATCGAGGAGGTTTGTTGTTATCTTGTGTTTCCCTCTGGAAATGGGGGGGGTCCTGAAAAAATGATTCTCCCTCCGTTGTTGGGCAGGACTAAGAGACAGGGAGCTACTCCTGCAAGCAGAGGGGAAACAAATACAGAGGATAAATATCACATTATTTAACACGTTGTTATCTCAAAAGCTGCATGAATTTAAAACAGCGTCAGATTTACCTTCTCTTATCTGTTCATTCATGTAAAATGGACTGACCTTTCTACAGTTTGAATAAATTAACTTTGTATTGAAATCTAAGCATCAGCCCGGGGTGTCAGACACAGGAGAATAAGAATAGTAATTTATCAGTGAGCACAATCATTTATATAAACATTAGAAAAATGTCACGGCTCAATCAAAGAGGAGCAATAAGACTCAGCCGCACCACAGCAGCTGTGACAGGTTGCAGTTTTATTCATTCTGCTCTATTTAAACTCCGGGAATCATTCTAGTCAGATGTTTGTTTTTCCCGCTCTTCCATGTCAGAGGGCTAATTAGGCCGACTGACTCATTGACTGCATGGACACCAATATTTCGACTATTGACCTTGTTCTGAAAAGACCTGATTTCGATTGAGATGTTTACACGAGTTACTGATAGAATCATCCATCCACATTCCTGTTGACATGTTACAGAGCACAGTCTGATTAGGACCCATGTCAACATTACGTCTTACTGCTTGTTCGGGGAATGGGTCATCAATAATCTTCTTACTCTGCCATTTCGTTAACTATAGAGGATGCACCTGCAAACAGAAATTCTCTGTCTGCAGCCCTCGCTCTCATGGGGGATGGCAGAAGAATTGGCAGGTTATTAAGGGGGGGATCATTTTTGGTAATTTTTCTTCTAAGGGGAAGGCATCCTCCCTCATTCCCCCACAAATCGCCTACTGTGTAAATTCGATTATTGCTTATTCCGAGTATGACCTCATAAAATTCTGCTTACATGGCAGTGTCATAGACAAGTGCTAGCCTGCATGGCGAAAAACGCTTGTAAGTCCTGTTTCTTGTAGCCATGTGCCCAAAACTATGTTAGAACACGCCACAGGCAGGCATATGTCATAAAGACCTCATTTAAATGACCAATGTGCATTGACATCCTGCGGCTGTGAATGATCTCAGCAGCAGTCTTTCGAAACTGTGCTATTTTTGCAGATGCACTGTGTTTTTAAATTGTCCGGTGGGCAGTGGGTGGTTGATTTCGAAGCAGACCCCTGCTCGTCCGTGGAAATGAAGCAATGACATCATTGTGAATCAAAGTTACAGCGCTATGTTGCAAGCTGCTGTGTGAGTATATCATGCAAACACAAACACCTCCCAGAGAACACATGAAATGCAGACATACATTTCTTCCAGTTTAATCCAATATGCATGTATTTTTGAGACGAGGGCTCCCCGTCCTTCTGTTTCTCCTGTTGTGAGCAATAGGTCACCCGCTCGTGTTAGTTAAACAGCACCAAAAAGAAAAAAACTTATGACATATTATTACCGCCGGGTGAAAAATGTGTTTGCATAGAAGCACTGAACACAAATCAGTGACAAAACATTCTCCCACTTTGATTTTGGCTCTAGGCTCTACACGTATAAAGTGGTGGACTGTGTGATTCTTTTTGCTGTTTAATAAGTTATAAAGACGTCCAAACTTTTCTAGCTTCTCATTAAATCAACACGATGTAACTTTTACTGAACCACAGCGCCCTCTACAGCCACAGGAGGTGAGTAATTCTGATGGGCAGAGGTCTCTGGGTAGGGATTCTCCCCATTAAATACAATGTAAAGTGTCTTTGAGTTTCTCTAAATGCGCCATGCAAATATTATTGTTATGATAATTATTATCATTATTAGTCCAACTCAAAAAACTGAACGGCTGAATGTTTTATACATCCTATGATCCTTGGGTTCCTGGACCAAGACACAACAAACTCGATAGTCGAAGTCTTTTTAACTGATCTTCAGTTTGGCATTTCTCTGGGGCTGATTCTGGCAACATGAGCGACTTACTACTTTGTCTCATCTGAGATCAAACGTCGTCTTCAAAGTTACAAAGAGCAAGAACTGGTGTTCAGAGTGGGAATGAAAGACGCCCCATTGTTCCCCAGTGCCATCAAATGATTTTACATTTCTTATTATAAGGTTAAATTCTTGCATTGTATTGGTTTTGTATTTAATTCACTTGTTTTTTAAAAATGCATTAAATGACATCATTCATACATTAATTGGATGTAATTTGATAAATGACTGGAACGCCATCCACAAAAATATCCAGCCACAGTCATTTCCATGGCTGTGGAACAATAAGCATGGCTAATGTTGGCTCTGGTGTTTGCCAGGGTTAGCTTTCTTTCGACTGATGTTATAAAAACTTAATATGAATAAAGCTAAATCATGTAAATTGTGTTGCCTATTACCCTGCTGATTTTTCTTTTTAGTTTTAATTAGGAGCAACTGAAAGCTGAGAAAATGTTAAAATATGTTTCTGTGGACAAAATCACCAGGTTATTGCAATTAATGAATGTTAAATGTTAAAGGTCCGTCACTGAAAGGCAGCTGCTTATCGCTGCAATTCCCCAAAATTACATGGCCTCTTGTTATTAAAGGGCTCAGCCCGGCAGGGAGGTTTTAATCAGGTTCTTTTCATGCCTTCACTGGGCAGAGCTGGGAGACTGAGGAGGACGACATGCATTTCATATGGACGGTAAACAACCATCTGCAGCAGGATACACCCACATAGCACTTCTGATGTTCACACTGGATACCGAATATTCCTCCACCTCAGCATGTGAAAAAACTCACTGACTCGACTTGAGATTACTTAATGGATGTGTTGATTGCCTTGGCAGTTTGTACAGACATTCAAGGTCCCCAGATGACAGGTCCTCTGGTCACTCCCCAACAGTATCTGTAATGTCTGGAGTATTTTGGCCAGTTTGGCTTTTGGAAATAGTTTTTGAAACTACAACAAACAACAGGAAGAAAGAAAATGGGTGACTCAATGAAATCCTTCAGCATGACCTAACATGTTTCCAAAAAGCTACACAAGAGCTAAAGTTGAAAGAAATAACGGTGTCTTCTTCGTGACATCTACTAGTAGCCTCGTATGTTTACAGCGCAGGTATCTTGTTTAATTCAGCCGTGCTTTGTTTCACAACTCAAATGATGTGAAGAAGATGCACTCGGAGAGGAAGCTGCGGTAAATCAAAATGAATGTTTGAGGACCAAAGATTCTGTGGGATATTTGAGAGGATGTGTCCCTGACTGAAGGTGAGCCAGTGTTTTTCTGTTTCCATCAATGCCTCACAGAAAGGAAATAGAAAAATGTTTTCATGCGAGATAAATTTCTCGGTGTCTGATGGAGTTGCTTGACTTTTATGAAGAGAGTGATGAAACTGCAAATGGCACGAATCAAGCTGCGCAACTGTTCGGATCAGGTTATTAGACGCATCATAGCCAATGCAGCAGATAATGCTGTTGTCAGGTTGGGAAAACACTGCTCTGTTTACCAGATATTGAGCAGTGCCAACAAAGAAAGAAGTTCTGAAAGCTAATTGCCCGGCTCGCGTAGCTCACAACACCTGCAAGCTCGCCTGCGATCAGCTGTCAGTGGATATTGAGTCATTTGTTGTGAAGATCTATAGCCACTTCACAGTATCTGCTTCCTGCAAACAGGAGCTGAGAGCATTTATCTTTCTTTTGTTGACAATGAGTGGCGTGAAGATATGTTATGTTTGCACGTCGATCATCTCCTGCAGAGCTGGTCAGCTCTTCCGGCCCCTTAGGGAAACCTGCTGAGCAACACAGGTGTTTACAAGAACCTTTGGATTTTGAAAATGAAGACGCTTCAGTGGAAACGGGGCAGGTTTTTTATGGACGAACAAGTTTCAGCACAAATGTCAAGGCAGCAATAGGACGAAGGTTATTGCTTATGATTTAGATGTAGTTTCCTTTCTCAGCAGAAAATGGAACTGTGGAACAGACCAATCAGGTTCTGGGAGGAGCCTGCATGGAGCAGGTGGTGTTTGCCCTCAAAATGACAAATCTATGAAGGGTTTTGTGCACACCGTGAGGAAATAGAGAAAGCTGGAAACCACCAGTGAGAGAGGGGAGAGAGTTTTCCAAGACATAGGGGAAGCCAGCTCGATCAACATGTTTGGGTATATCTCATTTGTCTTCAGTGTGCCAGGCTCAAACGCCTCTGTGGAGCGGATTTTCTCCCAGGAAATGATCAAAACTCGAGAAACGCAGATCGGAGAAGGAGATTATCACAAATGAACTTGAGACCTCTGTGAACTGTGACTTGTCATGTAAGGACTTTTACTCCAGCTGTGCAAGAAGACAAAAGACAGCTTGAATAAGTCAAAAGCAGAAAAGAAATACCAGTGGAAGAAGCAGATTTGGTTACTCATGCCCTCCTTTTGGATTTGAAATGCTTTTTTGGGTTTGATCTTTTATTTTTGAGGCGCATTCACATACGCTCAATAGAAAATAAAACATTCTAATGTTTCCAATTAAATGAGAATATGAATACACAGTGTGCACACCCACACTTCCAGAGAAAAGGTGGCGTGCCAGTCTCACCTTTTATCCCTCGTTTGGTCATGAGAAAGTTGGCAACTCTAGTTAGCGCCGTCACCGTGGGCATGTTACGATGCTAAATTTAGCATTTATCTCAAAGCAGAGCTGTGTCTCAGTAAAGCCTCACGCTGCTGCTGGTGTGGCTGCAGACTGTTGTTGGTTAGAGAGAAGGCGACACGGTTGTCTCTCTTATTATGTCTATATCTGAAGTGATTTACTGTGTGTGAAGTCAACAAAATTCCTCCTCGACAGATACAGTCTGCATCCGAGCAGGTGAATCAATCTGCACATACCCAGTGATGAAACCTATGATGCGCAGGTAACCTTTGGCAGCTATATTGATGGCACATATTGACATGTTTTTTATGGGGCATTTCTCCTGATAGCTCACAATATGGTTTAGTTTCTCAGGTCAATAGCTGAAAGCATCGCAACATCATCCATCACAGTCTTGTTCTCCCCCGCGTCCTCCCGCCCCGACAACAAGCTGAACAGATGATTGACTGTCAGCTGCCCTCCGCGCGGAGGCACCTGCGTGACACTGTGCCGCAGGACAAGTTGGCACCATCCCTGCAGCCACACGTGACGAAAAACTTTTCCTCTGTGGCACATCACTGGTCCATTAAAACAGAGAACAACTGCCACCTCAGCAGGGTTTTCACTGAAGTTGTCATCACAGTCGACCCGACATCGAAAAACTCCCTTTGCCTGTATACACACACAACCTGAGCTCACCATTATCTCCCCAAACATTGCTGCCTCTAATCACTGTGCATCCTGCGCATTATGTTCTTGTTACATCACGCTGAAAGCTTGTCTAATGCACACAGCAATGTGATGGCATTATAAATAAGTATATGGAGCCGTACGCACAGTCTCTCACAGCTGCTGATTTTATTCCACTGCCACTCGACACCATTAGATCTGGTGCAATATACATATTTAACAGCACGCAAACATTTTTTTAGCAATCAAACATTCTTAGAGGCTTCGTCTGATAAACATTTGTGGAAATTAGTTCTTGCTGCTTGTGTGGTTGAATGTTATCAGTTGTCAAAGTGTGCCTGCGCCCGTCAAAGCGAACGAAGACGTTCCGTAAACATCCCAGACACTGTAGCATCTATACCCACATCCCTGCATTATTCTGAGGATTTGCACATGGCAGCATTTGATACTTCGACAACAAAGCACCACTGCATCAGAGATCCCTGCGTCATTTGAAGGACAGCATGAAAGGAACCAATGTTTAACTCTGCATATCCCCCCACCCTATCAGTGTACAAGTAGTAATTTCACAATCTGCCTGAGTACACATGTAATCGCTTTGCACAATTTACTGGACTCATCACACGAATAAAGACACTGTTGATTTTTTCTTTGAGAGCCTCTAATTTTCTTTTTATGAAAGTGGCCATAGCAACACTCCTGCTGTAAAACATTTCAATCTGACTGAGGATATGAACGCTGGCAAAGCTTATGGTGTCGGCCACGTACCCGAGATATACTGTATATTAACAACGATGCTCCCACTCATAATCACCATCAATCTTTCTAACAATTTTACAAATGATCTGTTTATTATTTGGAGGTCTATATTCTCAACCATATTGCAGGATGATTGAATTTCTCACTTGGCTGCCTTTTATATCTGGATATACGCTGACGGAGTGAAAGATACAGTATGAAACAGGGCTGGAAATTAAAAGGATGTCACATTTTCACCTGAAGCGTTTCCCTTTGGACAGCGCTCTGCTGAGAAGAGGAGGGGACGCCGTGGATGTGCCTGGGGCTACGCTGCCGCCCTTAACAGATGATCCATGAGAACTGCAGCTCTGCAAAAAAAGAAAGAATAACAGCGGGTACAGTAAGTTATAAAACATGGTAATTGTGGCTTCAGGATGCATCTTGGTTATTATCCTCTACGCTGTGTAAAAGATGTCTTTATTAGAGCTCAGCTTGGATTCATTTGTGGCAATGATCAACATCAAAACACGAGACGTTCAGGTGTAAGTGATACTGTGAAACAACACAGGGAATAAGCTCAGGGTTTAATGTATAATACTGGTGGCTCAGCGGCACGTCCTTACTCAGGGTTAAATCCCCAGTTAGGCTGAGGATGTTCTCTGCCTAATGCAACCCTCTCGATAATAATAATGATAATCATATTTATTTACAGAGCACTTTTCTAAATCCACCTTACAAGGTGCTTCACATAAGCCGACAACCTGAAAACAAGCAGGTGATAAAAACTATATTAGTATTTTATTTCTTAGCATCTCACGCAGGGTGTCTTTAATTATACTGTACATTTTAAACTGCAGCTTAGGAGGGGACGCTCGGTGCTTAAACTCCACACTGGCCCTCACAGCGCTCCTGTCGCACTCAAGAATTAATCCTACACAAGATTACATTAATGGTTTCCTAAAGTATTTCTCCCCTCATATTCTTTTCCTTTATTCTTATCAAAATTAACAGCATTATCTCTCTATGGGCCCCAGACAAAACTCTGGCACTGTGACGGTGAATGCCCTGAGAACCCCCCCCCCCCTGTGAAGCACTAAGTCAGGAGATAATTCTGTTATTCCAGTTACAGTACTTCCTGCACTGCCCTTTCTCTCCCTCTGATTGTACATCATTAAAGCAATTGCATGTGACTTAGAACCGGTCCCGGGTTCTCATTGGCCGATAAGCCTCTTTTTCTCCCTCACACCCCAGACTCCCAGTGGGAGCAGTTACTGCTGTGCACTAGCCGGGCAAGAAAATAGGATCATTTTGGCCACCCTCTCATATACCCTGCGGGTGGAGAACGCCATTCTGGACCAATTTCTGTGGCAAACTTTTCCTGGAGGATGATATCTGTGTTGGGGGATAAAATAAATAGTTTCTGGCAGACAACGGAAGACCTGCATGGCGTAACCCATTCCACTTGTTCCCTGCGATCTCGATTTCTGCCTTATTTTATGCCCCTCGTGACAGCTTTAGATAAACATGAGGCAAAGTGGATTCGTTTCAAGTGGAGACAGAAGGAAAATACAGGAGCCTGAGTGAACAACATGAACTGACATTAAGAGTAAAGCCACCCTGTGCATTCAGAGCAGCAGCACTCCCCCTGCCAACAAATCAATACACTGTATATAAAGATGGAAGAGGCGTCTCTGCTTTCTCCTGTTTTGCACAATAAGGACGTGGTCACACATACTTGATATGTGAAGCAAATATCTCAGGTTGCAGTTCACCGATGTTGAACTCTTTACAAAGCCATGCTGAAATATTCTGGATATGAGGGCACCATCTTATGCTATCGATGTCCTTTGGAGGCAGGGGATGGAGTCGCTGTATCGAGGTCCCGCCCGACACAAATAAGTCTCAACAGTAAATCATGACATTCCACCTTGTTTTTATCAGCAGCCATTAACTAATACCAAACTTATGTGGGAAATTAGCATTTTGAAATATATCAGAATGATAAGAACTATAAAAGGTATTTATGACATTTTAGTTTGTCCATAGTCCCATCTGCTAACATGGAGGAGGTGGATTTAAACCTATTCTGCAGCCCGCCATCAGTGGATTTCTCTGTACTTTTGGGGAGCTGTCACATATTCCATCTTTATACACATCAAATCAAAATGCACGATGGAATATTTGACCATTCATAGACAAGGGAAATCCTAAAACCAACTGGGAAACTACTAAATCTGAGCAATTTGTCAATTCTCTGAGCCAGGACTGACAGCAAACACCATTTTGGCTCTACCCGATATCAGCATGTTAAATAATATTGCATAATATAGTGTAACATTATCAATTGTCTGAACTGGCCGGTAGTTTTATTAATCATGACGATATCTACAGAAGCTTTTCCGCCATCACAACAGATAAACGTGTCACTTCCTTCCAGAAACTGAACTCAAACATGCTCTTCTGCGTCTGATGCTACTGTTCTCACGTCTCTGACAACATAATTTGAAAATGACTTTGGTTTTCAGAAATTGGTGCAGTATCGACTCTGCAGAAAGAAGACACTGTGTCTTTTGACCTCGGAGCTTTATACACTTGACTTTGGTGAAACAGAAGCCTTGAGATGTTTTGGTTCACAATGCTCTAGTCTGGGGCCCCATTCATTCTGTGTCCCCATGCAGTATTCATACAGTACCCTCATCCCAATGCCTTGTGTCGCTCCTGAGGGTGACTCGGTTTCTTCTTAGAGTAAGACTGGAATAGTCCGTTACCACCACTCCAGTTTCTGGCTGATGGGAATTGAGTTTTTGACTCTTGTCCTCTCGGCCTCTGTGCCCCTATTCCTTCATGTCGGTGCATGTCTGTTTCGGTGGCGTGTCTCACGGGTGTATACTCCATCACATTTTATTTCAGATGCAGTTTTCTTGCCACCGAGGTGTAGATTCAAATAACAGTGGGGGTGGCAAGTGTTTAACGGTGCAAAAACATTTCTTCATTTCTCTTTTGATTTGAAAAGCGTTTTTGAAAGGAGCCATCATAACAGTTTATGAAAAACCCGGTGTCAATGACCCCCCCGCCCCCAGCGTACCTAGTGAACACACTTATGTGGTTAGAAACTCTGATCATAGGCTTTACAGTGTCTAGGTGCCCCGCTGGTCAAAAGAAACTCTCTAATCACTCTAATCACTCACACTTAGAGCTGAACTTTATCAGAAACATTCTGCAGAATTATTTTTGTTATAACAATGTTCCTGGATAGACAAGGCGTCACTTCCTCTGCAACAATGAAGTTAAAACGCTGCTTTGCGTCATCTGCAGGAAGAGCTTCTCTCTGGTCTGCAGGAGTGTGAGTGAGTGTGTGTGTGTGTGTGTGTGTGTGTGTGTGTGTGTGTGTGTGTGTGTGTGTGTGAGTGTGTGTGTGTGTGTGTGTGTGTGCGCTCGTCTCAGTCGCTCTTCATGCAACCTGACCATCACATTTATTTATTAATTAATCGATGATGTCGGATTATGAGTCCCGATCGGTCACTTTAACCCTGATTTCCTGGCTGTGCGCTTCATATCACTTTTCGTCTCAGGCTTCAAAATTATTTTCAGTGCGTTTAAATAAGTGTCTGGTGAACTCTGGAGCGAATCAAACAAAAACAAAGTAAACTTCAAGTACTGTTCAGATCCTAATAACCTCTGATTAGTGTTGCTGTTTATTGTTGACGTGTAAAGTGAGCACAGATCAGTGGGGGAGTGAGGAGGGAGAACAAACGGCAGAGTAACAGCACAGTGCAAGGATATCAATATCTGCCCCGGCGGGCCGCTGCTGCAGAAGCCATGCTTACTTCATACTGGATATAGTACGCTTTTAAAAAACATTTAATGACAATTATAAGTGACACACATTTCCTTAATATTTTTTTCCCAGAGATGCCACAGAATGCTCTTGAGGCTTTCAGGGGATTTCAAATATGACTCACCTGTTTCTAGATCTGAGCATTTATGTAAGATTACAGATGGACGGAGCATATGCACAGGAATTTTTCCAGATTTGCACATATGAACAGGCATGTGCACTCACAGATGGAACAAACAGGAAAGTCTAGAAGTACCTGCTGGTGCACAAAGAAGTCAGCTATATGAGTGCAGGTGTGTGGGTACCAAGGGTTTAGTGATCTCTTAGCTGTCTTAGACCGGTCTGACGTCAGCATATAGAGACTTTGCATTGCACCTTAAGGAAAAAAGTATTTTAGGGAGTTGATGCTCTATATTCTTGTAAAGTAGAGCATCAGTTTATTATAGAGATGACATGATGAACACACTGACCAAAACCTACTTTGGTTTCATCCTCAACATTCCTGCCTCAATCACACACAGTAGAAACCGGCGTGTTAGTTTTATGTTCCAAGCCTCCACTCCTTTCTGTTCTTCCATCTAAAGCGTTTCTATTCTGTGTCGGTTAAACTTGGAAGAAGAACCCGGAGAACTTTTAGGACTGCACCGCCCACGGCACATGATGGTTTGCAAGCTGAGAGAGTGGGAGGAGAGTAGCAGTGGTCAGGGCTTGCTGTGTCAAACATGTGGAAAAATAGGTTTCACTTGTTAATCTTTGGTGTGTTCAGCTCACACACCCTCCTGGGTTCTTGTAGTCAGTGATCTTTCACATCCCACCTAAAGCTTCCCTCACACTCTTCTATTATAGCTTGTGTTTCCATGCTGTATTTTTCTCTCTGGTTTTCTGTGTCCGGCTCTGTGCAGATTTGGGGCTTCACTAAATGCTGAGCCCCAATATATTCCTGTCACCACACTGTCACAGTCATATCGTGTTAATACAATACCCTGCTACTGTGCCATGGGACAATGGGCCTGCAGCTGAGTGAAATGCATTAAACTGCGCTGAGAATGGTTTTGTGTCAGTAGAACTTTTGGGACTCTTTACACTTTCAAGGTTTCTCAGCAGAGTGTCATGAATATTTCTGTGCGGTACTGAAAACATTCGCTGCGCTCCGGCTCATTGACACTCGATTTTTTTTTACTTCACCAAGAAACACAGCTACTTAACAGCTACATTTACATAAAATGTTGTACCACTTCTCACACGTCAACTGCTCGGAGCCATAATTTAAAACGACATCCTCGGAAAGCTCTCGGATTGTGCCAACTGCAGTTCTGTGGGTGGGGCTTGCTTCAGGGGTGTTTGTTTCAGTGGGTGACACTAGGCGCTGTTGCATTATTAAAGAGCCTCAGCACAGGCTACATCTGGCAAACGCAGAGATGACAGAACAAGGCTGAACCTAAGAGAGGAATTTTCGACAGCAACAAATACATCTGTTGTTGCTTAAATGTGTCGGAACACGCATGTTCGTGCCATTTGAGGTGTGATCTCTAAAGTAAACTTGTGTGTACCTTTACACGTGCATACTGAGTCATACAAATTGCAGAAAAAACTAAATATTTATGATTTTATCATATCTGAGGGTTTGTAAAACCAAGAAATGTCCACCTCTATATAGGGCAGGTGCACATTAGCAAAGGGACATGATGGGAGAGCATTAAGAGAGGAACAGATGGCACAACCTTCTTAAAAGGATGAAAGAAACCTGCATGATAAATTAAATTAAAAAAATAAAAATAATATCTCCAAAAAGTCTCAGGAGCAAATAATGAATGAACACGATATATGTGACCATTTTCCCGTGCATTCAGGGAAGTGCTAATGCGTTATGGCGACCGCACTCTCGACGAGACCTTTACAAGTGTCCATTAGGCCGCAATTACCTCGGGAGTCAGTGGAGACATCAGCCACATTAGTGCCATCTTCATCCTCCACCTCCTCTTCTGTGATTGACTGGGTCACATTTTTATTTTTTACTAAACCAGGAGTCTGTCTGTGTGATTTGTTATCGTGACAAACAGCTGCCCAAAGTCGATTTTCTCCTTTTTGACCACTTGCGTCTTGGTTTGCTTTTCTTTGGGAGCAAATAAATTGATTACTTCAAGGTTTTTTTTTTGTTTTGCACAAACCTCCATCCTGCTGCAGATTTAACTCTGCTCCACAAATACACAAAAAAAAAGTCCCACTTGCAAAGTCAACATTTTCAATACGAAAGGTAGACGCACCTGCAGAACACACTCTTGGCATTGTCAGTAGTGAAACATTAAACCCGGTTTGTCTACTATACAGTATTGCTGCCTTGCTTGCTTGGTGAATTCCAGATTCCTGACACACTGCAGATTAGAATTTCCAATCTGCAGTTTGTCACAGGAATCTGTCATTGTGAGCATGACAAGCAGATTTTTCCTGTATAACACATGAAGCATTTATTTTAAACTATAACTCCCCAACGTCTCTCAGCTCAGATGTCAGATACGAGTGTGAACAACAGACTCCAGCCAAGAGAGAGATTATTAAGACATGTATCATACATCATCCTGTCAAGCTCTCTGTAAACTGATTTGTTTGTTCAGTAGAGAAATACTTCAAACAAATACATATCTATATATTTATATATAGATATGTATATATACATATATACAGCTGAATATGATGATTACAGTTTATAATTAGTATAATGCATAATGTTGAACCTTTTGGAGTTGCAGGCTGTATTGAAGCCTGGGAGTGGATTTGGACATGAGGCCAGAGGCGTGGACACTGCAGTCCCTCAGGCTGCGGCTATCGGAGAAATGAGCCTGGAGTTTTTCCCTGTGTCTCCTGTGGAGCAAAGAGAAATATTGCAATGTTATGAGTAAAAAATAGAGTTGCTTTTAACCAAGAGAGGGTTTCTTTACCAAGATAACCGTGGTGGTGTTTTTCGCTGTGCTCAGTATATTTCCTGCCCTCTCACTAATGAGAATACTCTCTGCAACTGTGTTTTTTTTTAGCGCAGACATTGATTTCTATGACTGTTGTGGCTCTTAAGACGCACATGTGCAGCAAGAACACACTTTACTGTGTACGTGTGTAGAAAGAAGCACATGCATCAAATACATTTTTTATAAATTTGCACAATTTTCAGAAGTAGCACCTCTACTTTCTGCTTTCTCTTTTACATTGACAAAAAATACTTTCTATTCGACACTGATCTACTTGAATCTGTTCGAAACTACCGTATTCTATTTTATTCTACTACATTCTACTCTTTTTCATTCCATTCTACTCTATTTTATTCTACTCTGTTCCATTCTTTTCTATTATATTCCACCCTACTCTACTATACTGTACTGTAATATGTTCGATTCCACCCTGTTCTACTTTAATCTGTTGCATTCTACTCTACTCTGCTCTACTTTATTCTATTCTACATATTTGTCAGTAAACTGATCGTTCATATGTTCAGAAATGATTTCCCTTCAGAGCTGTTCATCATAAACACACGCTAGAAATTTGATAGATTTCATTACTTCCTTTGACACTTTGACAAGATTTCCTTTTCAGCGAAATTACCTGTTCTGAAAAACGCTGAGAATGAAGACTGAAAGGTAAAAGTGTCAGAACGCGGACCAGCCACTTTGAAACTCACTTACAGGTATTTTCTGTTCAAGAGCTGTGACTGTACATTTGATGGTTGTAAGATTTTTCACAAAGGCTTCAAAAAAATAGCATTAGGAAAGTAGATGTCTTGCACAAGTGAAAATTTAATCAAGGCAGTCATCTGTGAAACGTCCATTTCATGCCTTCGTAATAATACTGACAGATTTTCAATAAAAACTACAACCAGAGACACAAGTTTAGATTCTCACATCACAGAGTGAAGGTATCAGGAACATTTCTGGCTGCTGACATGTTTTAATCAAAGGAAAATGTACATGTATGTGTGTTCTAGTGAAGTAAACACAATCATGGTGCTGGGCACAGGGGTTTTTCATTTACTGGCATCTGGTGACTTGAGCAGACTTTCTTGTCTCCGTGAACCATAAATAGCTTAATTTATTTTCTCCTACCCAATAGAATTACTTCCACTCTTTAACCATAACCATAAAAAGGAACATTTATGAACAGAGTGTGTGCAAGAAAAGTCAAATTTCATCTTTTAGCTTTGCTAAACATGGAATTTGAGAATGTTGCTTCTTTTGGATTAAATTTTGATTGGATTAAAAATTAATTGATGCTTAAGACTTTCGGATTAAATGTTAATTCACCATTAAATGTTCATTTTGGAATACTAGGTTGCTAAACTCTCTCTGCAGCAGAGGCCTGTTACATGTTCCCCGAGTAAAGGATGTGGTGAGATGTTAAAATTTAGGAGGCAAATGTCTGAACTTGTTAAAAAGAACAAGACAAAGTGATGGTTTGTGGGCGACTTACTTTAAATACTTAAACGGCACATTATGAATCAGCAAAAGCAGAAAAATACTCATGTTGGCTGCGTTTGTTTTATTTCAGCCAGGCCCGGTTATTATAGATAAGCTTACTCCATTATATAGTATAGTAAAATATATTACAGTATTTATTAGTTCATGTTCGCTGCTCTTCTTTGTCCATGATAATCAGCAATGATGATATGGCAAACATCAGCATCATTGTGATGAATAATCCCACTGCCACACCACTTCCTATAATTACTAAACTTTATAACCACATATAATTCATTTCCCTTTGATTTTCATTTCTTTGGGTCCTTAAAAAATGTACAAGTGTCTCTCTTATCTCGAACTCCTCTGTGTAGTCTTCAAACTAAATCAAGAATGCAACTGTGCTAATCTTCCCTGTGAAGTACCGATACAAATAGAATTTTAAGTCTCGACGTCTGAAGAGAGAATGAACCGAGAGGATCCATCTTTGTGAAACCGCAGAGTCAAACAACATTTTCGGGACAAGGGATTCAATTTAACAAGGTTTCTGGGTTTTGGATAAAATCCAGTAAATTAACTCGACCCATTGAGCCGTGACTCCGGCTCCGCTGACCGATCGGAGCTACACCATTAAGAGTGCTGCAAGGCTGAAAATAAAACACATTTGTTTTGTTTCAACTTTCCTTATTTCCCCCGCTCTCTCCTTTTACGTCTACATTTCTTTTTTTCCTTCTTCCCTGTCGCTGTCTGTTTTTCCACACGTACGTTTCGGCTCTAATATTCTCATTCAAGCTCTTGCCTTGTTTGTGTATTTTTATTTTTGATGGAAGCGTTTATCTGACAAACCACTTTACGAATCAATCTCACATGAGTGTCCGTCTCGAATGTATCCTACACAATTTAGATGTGACTCTGCTAAAACATCCTCTAGCTGACTCACACTTAGACTTTCATTGGGCTCCATGCCATGATAGTAAAGTGCTCTTTCTGCACAGCCGGGGGCACACTCCACTAATGTGGTGCTGGACGGCATCACTCACTTGTTGCGGCGGTAGAGAGCCATACACGCCACTCCGAGCAGACAGATCCCCGAGGCGATGCTGAAGATGGACAGCACCTGCCGCTGGTAGGTGTCACCGCTCTCTGCGGAGGAGAGAATACAGTTGAGGCCATTGAATATCTATCCTGACACAGAGGATATGGACTTGTTCTGAGCGAGGAGGAGGGGAATATATCATGAATTAAGCCACCAAACACACACACACACACACACACACACATACACAAGCGGTGGGCGGACACAGTCACACACAAGACATCCACCCACAATCTGCATTAGCATAAAGCGACCAATGCTGCTGTCAGTAAATGTCAGTGTTTGAGCACAGGATGGGGACATGGCAGACCCGGGCAGGGCTCAGTGACATGTGCTAACCGAAGTGTGATAATCATTTCGTTCAGACGAACCCAGCAGGCAACACCAGCGGACAGACTCGGCCCAGCGGGGGCCACATCGAGATCGCGTGAGTGTGTTTACATGCGAGTTCCTCATGTGTGTCAGCATTCAGAGACCGATGGCGACAGGGAATTAGCAGCAAATGAATGCTCCCGGAGCTTCTTGTCAAACCCTTGCACATCAGCAACAGAGGCTTTAGGTCACAAGCAGCCGGGACAAGTAGTTGATCCCGGCTGATATCTGTCTGACTGAGCAGCTGCATTGGAGACCTGCGCTACTTACGGCAGCGCGTGGCGTGGCGGGCGGGCGAAGGCCGGCTTATCCAAAAACTCTCACGCCAAATCATCCAGTGGTCAAAACAAGGGGGAACAACTGTCCATCTAAAAACCTGCTATTTGGCATCCAACTAATTTGCCGACATCCAGTGTCAAAAGTTTGGAGAGACTTCTCTGTCCCGCTGTCACTGGTGACCTTAAACACCTCCTGTGACATCACTCAGTCACACTCAAAAAAAATAAAATCCCTGTGTGTGAAAGATCTCAGCACCTTGACAACTGCAGGGAAAAGTGCAGAACACATCACTGCAACCTGCTCGTGACCTTTGAGGGCTTGTTTGTGGCTTTTGATGCTGTCAACAGAGAAGTGTCCAGGGAGGTCTTCTTCATTCGTGCTTGTCTGCCCAGGTCCATCAACTTCCTCCTGCTCTTGTTTTAAGGCCACGGTGACTATCGGAGAGCTTCCTGTGTTCGAAGTTTACACCTCAGTGCAACCATGAAGTGTGTTTGCACCATTTTATTTTTCTTTTCAGTTTCTGCCTCGGCATTACATCAGTACCACATCAACATATTTAAAGGGTGAGATGGTGTAACCGAGTTCAAACTGCAGGGAAACCTTTTTAATGTTAGAATGCTGCAGGCAGGGGATAAAAATAACATGCGCACATCCTGGAGTTACATATATATAAGTTACATATAGACATATTTATATATATATATATATATAAGCTCCTGTGGAAAAAGTTGGGTTTGATTTAAAATAGATTCAGTCCAGGGAAATGCAGCATGGGTGGCCAGATGTGACACACGGCAGTTTATTTAATGCTGATAAATTACTACGTGGATAATTGTGGTTGTTGTGATCGAAAATGACTGAGATACACTGTTTGCATTCAATCACATTTGGAGCTTTAATTTATTACAACAAATAATATCTTGTAATTAGATTGAAAGTTAAAGCCATTTTTCACGCACATATTATCATCTTGAAAAGCACAATCTGCTGTGTGACAAATTAACTCATTTAGGTGTAATTGTGTTTTATAGTCTGACTGGTGCTGGATTTGTGATGTTATAGTAATAATGATGAGCTTAATTTGTAGAGCACTGTTCTTGAAACTTGAGAATTAAAAGAACACAACAATAAAATACAATTTTAAATTTGAATCAAGAACTAGATGAGAAATGTTGACACCAGTATTTATAATAAAAGTGGATCATTCCTAAACATGAGCACAATTTCATTAACCAGGATCCATTTGAAGTGGTTAGAAAGTTATTGAAAATAAGGATGTATCAGGGTCAACATATTTTCCAGCAAATATTTGCACATATTCATGACTGCTTGAGATAATAAGTTATTTTCATCGAGTTAAAAAATGAAATCCAAAAATGTCTGAATAATGAGTTTTGACTAGAATAACAATAATAGTGAGAGAACACATACAGAACACGGTATGTGACACTAATACGAAAACAATTGTGGTGGAGCTGTCAACACGCTTTTGACCTGTCCTGCAATTTGTCACGAACGCAGCAGCGAATGGCTTTAACCTGCACTTTACAAATAAACAGCAGAAGTTGCCGCTGGAACTCTTTGCTTATAAGACGAATACCTGTGTAAATGTAAACCCTGCAGCCTTGTACCGTCAGTGAAATGACCTCTGGACAGTTCCGTGTCAGAAATCTGTGAGAAACATTCTCCCCCTGCTGCCTCGTCATCATGTGTGGCACAACCTGAGACAAGCCTCTGCCCTTTTATATTTTTTTGGGTATAAACAAATTAGGCCTTTCCAAAATCGGAGCATAAAAACAGCTGTCTACAAAGCTCTGCTGAATGGCTGCAAGGAAAAACCAACATGCAGTCTGTACATAAAACCATTACAGGCCTTTCATGCCTGATGCCTACGAGGCATTCTTGTAATTAGATGCAAGAGCTTGTTGGGGAAGGGAACAAACTGAACAGCATAGGCTATATTGGCTGAGCCATGTCGTATTGACATAAGGGCAAGACAATCCCATATGGGCAGCCATATCATAGCAACCATTCTATATATGACAGAAAAAGCTATAATAAGGCCCACGCTAAAGTATCCATGACAAAACGGGAGAAAGCAGCCTGAGATACATGAGAGACACAGAGCTGCAGCTGCTCGGTGTAAGAATGCAGCAAAATTAAAAGACAAGATGATGTTTGGAGCACTCGATCCCACTTCAAACAGAGCTCTGCCTCATTCTGACAGTCTCAGACTCCAACTGTCACATCTCGGACTCACTGTATAGTGCAACCGTCAAGTGATTCATCGCCGAAGCAGAGGGGGGAGTCATAATGGAGCACAATGAATAAGCAAGTGAGCTCAGTGCTTATACCTCACAGCCCAAAAAAGAAGAAATAAAAAATCTCTGCGTCAGTCTGTCATCTGTCCAGCCATCAATCGATCTCTCCCCTTCTCATTTTCTCTAATGCCTCCGCCCACCTGCAGTTGCTTTCTGAACTAATTTAGTCCTCAGATTAAAATCACTGAGCTGAGGAGTGTTGTGTGCAGACAGGCTCCTCTTTCAGAGCGTCTTCTCTCCCCTTCTATTTCCTGGAGCAAGTGTGTGATGTGACGGCAGCGTATGAAGCCATGCTAATGGAAAACTTCACAGCACGCTATGTTGGTTTTTATGTATGCACAAAAGGCAGCCGGAGAACAGGGAGAAGACGGCAAAGGAGAAAATGAAAAGAACAGGGACGAGCGGGGCAGCATGTGTTTGTGTGTGTGCTGGAGTGCTATAAAGAAAGAAGGCTGGATAATTTGGTTTTTAAAGATTGCTCCACCTGGGAGCTGTAAAGGTATCTTAAGTAATATCAAGTTGAATCCCGAAGAGGTTTGAATTGCATTTTCATTACCTCTTATTCCACTAGTGAACTTTTTCTGCATTTGTGGAGGCATGTAGATTAAATTTAACAAATTTTGTGTCACAACTTATGAAACAAAACCGTTTCAGAAATTGCCACTCAACACCCGTAACGGAGAAGTATGGACACACACTCATGCATTGAAATGCAGCGGTCTGACTTTATTGCTTTCTACTCATTATACAACTCCTCACTAACGGCACCGTTCCTCACGCAGACAGAATGCACCTAATTCACCACCACGGTGTTTCCATGGAGACTGGCCCACATTAATTTTCCAAGGTGAGTGGCCTTGTTGTGCTGGATTGTGTGTTTTTCTGTGGGGTGTTTCGCAGACATAAGGCACATGAATGGATGAGCAGTGTGGAAAAAAAAAAAAAAAATCTTACCCATGAACTCGATCCCAAGTTCATCCACTGTTGGGTCCAAGGCCGGAAGCGAGGCAGGAAAGGAAAAGAGGAGAAAGAAGAGAGGAGAATAGAACAGTTACAACATGATGCACCTCCATCTTACTAAAAATTCACCTTTGGGAGAGACACGCCGCAACTAGACCGTAAAGTTGGTTTGACGGCTTCCTCTGACACGGCTCTCTCCCTCGTGCACAAGGTAATGAAGCAGCCAGCCCCAGATGCTTGGTATGCTTTTCCATGTTACACGCTGAATTCACACAGCCCGCAGTGGCTTTGAAAGAAGAAAGGAACCAACAAAGATACGGGGGCTGAGAGGATTAGAGGAAGGAATAAAAATAAAAGTTGAAAATGACATATCATTTAGCTTTATGTCACTGATGTTGCTTTGCACGGGACTTTTATATCGACTTGAGCCCGAGGCATCGCAGTAATTATTCTCCTCTGTCTCTGAGCTTTTCAATATTCAAGCGCTGGTCGCTCTAAATTGCATGTGCGCATTCACATGCACATGCACCCATAGGCATATATGTTACAGCCTGTGTTTCTTTGTCTTTTGCACACACACACACACACACACACACACACACGCTATGACATACATCTTCTCTCTCTCTCTCACACACACAGTTTGTCTTCATGCAGTTAAGTCTTTCCTCCCGGTGCCAGCTCGGAGGAAACATAAAAAGGATCACTCGTGTTCTTCCCTTCCCTGACAGTGCCCCCTTTTCATGTCACTGTAATGTAATCTCATTTAAATTAAAATGAAACCCTCACTAGTAATTGCTTTCCTGACAGAGGTGGTCGCAGTTTTAAATAGAATTTGGCTTGCCAGGCACTTGACGTATGATTTTGTGTGCACTCGCAATTTCTTTAAATTTTTATTAAATGGCATAACATAGAAATAAAATAAAAATAAATGAATAAAAACATGTGCATGGGAGGAAGTGGCTTCATCTGTTTTAAGAAAAATAAAGTGGAGCGAGGTTCAGAAAGGCAAGAAACAATTGAACATTTGGATGAATGGATCATAGTAATTGTTTAGGGTTATCCGACTCTATTAAGGCATGTGATTTGAGGAAATGTATCTTTTTTATGATGAAAGCTAATATTATAAGCAAACAGGAAGTTCAGGTTAAGTTCCTGAGAACATTCAGATCTGCAAACGTTATTAACATTAAACACAAAGCCAACTTCTCTGACGGCTTCCTGAAGAGTCGAGGGGATGTTTCCTGCTTACAGCGATAACAGGAGAGGGAGGAGATGAGAGAGCCTGAGAGGAAAGTCTGAAATCCCTGAATTAATCAATCAATTAACCAACAGAAGTGTATTTAAACAGGACAAAGGTGTCGTCGTGTTTTCGTTTAACACAATGTAAGTGCATCGTTTTATCTCCGGCAGCCTCAAGGACTCTTTAACAGATGTCACTATTATCTATACGTTGGATCTCACGAGTCTCACAGCAACTCACAAACCACATTTGTCCTCAAGTGATTTATGAACATTTATAATATCAAAAATAAGAATAACAAAAAAAAAGTATATTTTTGGTCCTCTGTGTGCCACGACTCGGCTTATGTTTACTTTGTGTGTGTGTGTGACAGAGACATTATATTCTGTCAGAGTTATTTGAAATACCTTAGACGATGCTTATGATACTGCTACTGAACATTCAACTAAAATAAAAACACCTTCAGAGTGAAAAATACAAACACGAATAAAGAATTCACTTATGAATGTGCTGTAACTAAACTGTATTCTGATTACCATCTAATTATAACTAAACCCAGTTCCTTATTATTTTGTATTCTAACAGGCGGCTCTGTTATATGTAATCTTCAGTTCTGATTACAGGACTTGTTGATGCACTGAGGAGGGAGTCGAAGGCGTGAGGACACAAGATGCATTTCAACAAAGAAGACGGAAGAAGGCGATGAGGAGCAGGCGAGGCCAGAGGAGGAGGAGGAGGAGGAGGAGGAGGTGGAGGAGGAAGAGTTATCTCCTGTTGGTATGGCAGCAGATGAGTCAGGACGCGAGAGCGCCACTGCCTCATCATGACCGACGATGTTAACAGAGACAACAGAGAGAGTGGGAGAGATGGAGAAGAAGCAACGAGACGGACGAGGTTAGATGATGTTACAGAAGATGGATGTTGTTAGAGAACAGAATCCACTGGTTACACTGTGGTGAATAATGAAAAGCTATCGGCTGCTGACTGATGCACATGTGATGCACTGATACTCAGCCCCTATGGGATGGAACTGTGCATCAATGTTTGCTAAAATATGTTTCTCACTTATTTTGTCTGTTTGAAATTCTTAAATCTTTTCATTGATTTCTCACAGAATAATTTCTGGATCTTGAAGAAAAAAAAATCAGGCATGTTTAAGAGATATTTGAGTGGGTGTGATTTGATGTAGATCAAACATATTATTAGGATTAAATTCATTTAAATGTGTTTTCATCTGCCATTGTTTATCTCCAGCTACTGGAGGGATTCTCAGAGAATCAACTTATTTTTATATGCAAATATAAGATCTAGTGGATTTAAATGTAGTTTCCACGTGTGTATGCAACATAAACTTAACACTGTTGGTCAGAGTTCAGTTTCCTTGTCAGACATTGGAAGCTGTGAGACCAGTGTTGGCTCCTTTTTCAGGGTTTTACTCCTGCCTCTGAAAACAAATATAAGAACCATTATTTTGTTTAAGCGCAGCCTCCTGACAGGAAGCTGCTGTCACAGACTAATGATTTAAACAGTTAAGAGTCAATCAGCTCTGGCCGGTGGATGTTCTGCTTTCTTTCATGGGGAGTTTTGAGTGCAAGCTTAAAATATGGTTCACATTTCCCTGACTGTGGCACAAACACTTGGCAAAGGCCAGAGAAGTAAACACAGTATTATCCATTTGAGACTTTCCTTGTGATTGCCCGTGGCAACAACGGATGTTTCCCAACTCTTAAATCGCCCTCACTGTCGCAGGCTGTGCAGACGATGTCATTACGGCACTGACACACGTCCCTTCCTCTGGCGCTGCCTTGTCTGGAGACATTCACCAATCATAATATGTGCAGGCTCCTTATCCCTCGCGCTGGCAAGTCGAAGGGACCCGCGGGAATCGTTTACGGAGTTCTTTCGGGAGCCACGGGCAGGTTTGGAGAATACCTGTGCGACGTGTCAGGTGCTTTTGGCCCGATTAAAAGGCAGGAATCTGGCAGGTGGAGGAGACAAAGGCAGGAGTGAGTCAAATCTTTAATCCCTTCACTTGGGTGAGCAGGGAACTGGGGAGCCTGTGCATGTGTTGGTGCATCTGAAACCAATATCCTGTGGAGCTACTTACTCCAGGCTTAATATCTACCGGAGATGAACAGTTCAAATTAGGCTTGCCTTCTTCCTCTTAGTGAATTAGCTGGCTAAAACCAAGCGCTGGCTCACATCCCTTCTTTCCAGCCTCATCTTCTGTCTTCCGCCCAAACATCACCTGAGTCGTCTCAGAGGTTCAAGCGGCCAAGCTGAACATCATTACTGGCCCTGAACTCTCTCGCATTTTACTCATTGCAGTTCTTTATCAGGTATAAAGGGAATTGCGGCCTTACTGCGCTCCCATGCCTTCAATTAAAGGCCCCGACACTCCCCCGCTGTGCGCCAATATGTGAGACCCAGGCTCCCTCTCCCCTTCCTCCCTTCCAAAGCCGAGCACACAGCGGTATAGCAGGAGCACCTGGCAGGGAGCCTCTTTTTTTCTTTTGTCGTCTGGCTTTTGAGAGGTGCACAACAGTCTGTGAGGATGCGAGTGGCAGGGCGAACGAGACAAACCGGCGGGTCAATACCAAGACAAAGGACGAAGGCCAATGGATGATTTGTGACTGTGAGGTTGACTTCAGGAAAACACAAAAACAGCCGGAATGAGCATAAAACATGCACTAACTCGCTTCCGCACACACACACACACACACACACTCAGACCCACATGCACACGATGAATCGAATTCCACTGGAGCTCGTCCCAGTTGTGGTTGTGTGCATGCATGTGTGTATGTTATTACATGACTTGGCTTTTGAAAGCAGGATAATCCCAAAAATCCCTGGTAATCTGTGTAAATTTTAGATTACTCTGTATCAACAGAGATCAAAATAGGCTTCATTCCTCTCTCAAATCTTCCAGGGTGCACTTCACTCTTCTGGTGGTTCAATGGCTGTGGCCACGACGCGGCTCTGTGCGGTGAACACGTGCTTGCGTGGAGCGGCGATAAGAGACAATTTGTTTTCAGTGTTGCATTACAGATGTCAGGATTTTATTTTGCTCTCGCTGAGAGAAGTTGGAGATGAGTTAAAGGACCAAAATTAGAGATTTAATATGCGTTTTAAGCTTCGTCTACAATATAAATATTCTGTATATTTATGAAGTGTGTAAACACAGTGGGTGGATATGGAGCCTTCTGGAAAAGTGGAACCTAATGATATGCAACATCCGTGATGGGAGGTGTCTTGCATTTATGCTGCGTAAAGTAGATATGTAACATACCAACCTTCCTTATCAAGTATTCCACCTACAGAGAACACTCTCCCTGAAAATAATACTGTAATATAGTGTACAAATTCAAACTCTGACGTGTGTAAATGTCATCTCATATATTAATGTTGATTCCTCGCAACTATTTTGGCCTCAAATTACAGCACATCCGCATTTTGTAATTTCAACTATACAGATTCAAATATTTTTCTTTTCTTTCCTTACATTTGTATGATCGCGCCGTATTGAAGAGAAAACACACTAAATGAATTTTTCTAACTTTTTAAAATATAAATTACTGGATCATTTCACTTCCACCGGCCTCCAGAAAGTTACTCACCGTCATAGTTCCCATGTGCATCTGTGACGCGGGCCAACAAATAGATGTAACTTTGTTTTAGGAGGGTGAGGAGATGAAAAGGTTTGAAATCACTGCCTTAAACTACTTTGGACACAACACAGAAGCTGTATTATAGCCACAGTGCAAACAAAGCTCTTAAGCTCAGGAGCTAATGCTGCTGTCTGAGATTCCTGCTCTGAAGTGTTGTGTTTTTCCCACATGCTGATCAAAACGCTTTATGAGCTTACCTTTAAGCTAACAGTAGCTTACCGCGCCTCACTTAAACATACATGTCCCTGAATTACAGCTCTATAGTTGAAGTGTATTGTATGTTTAATCCGGTGCTTCTTTCTCTCTGCTGTATTTTGAAAAGATTCGGTATTCACTGCGATAACGAACCCTTCTTTATATTTTGCCCTCCGAAGCTTACCGTCTCATGCATTTCAAAATAAAATAAAAAAATTGCTGTAAACGTGCTGTAATCTATTAGCTTCTGCGAGTGTCCGTTTTTGCGCTAAACACAGTAAGATTCATCTTATCTCAAAGGACAATGAAAAAAAGAAAAAAAATCTCCTGATCTGGACACAGGAAAATTGATGTCTGCCTATGGAAGATAAAATAAATCCCATTGTGGAAGCTGAGTGCCATAAGGGAGCATGAAATGTGCTTTGTGACACTGGCTTGTGACCCCATTAACGGACTCTCAGTGGGCCTGATGGCACCAAACAGACGGCAATGGGAGTAAAGTTTTCTCTCTGACTCTCGGTGCCGAGGAGCCAAGTCACTCCATAAAACAGTGAGAATTTGTAAAGGCTGCAGTCTCATGGGGAACGGCTCCGGGCCTTCAATTTCTCTTCCTTGTACCTCTGACTTTTGCTTTATTTTTTAACTACACTACACCGCTGTCATGGGAATTCAAAGACTTCAGGGGAATTGTCCTTCGTGAACAATGGCAAAGTGGAGACTTTACCATTTCACTTTAACTCGACAAAAGTGCAGCAGAGATCGCAATGAAAGATACGCACAGGGTTTAATTCTAATATCTGCATGATGACACTGTGAGTGCAGGCCAATAACAGAAACACAATCTCATAATAGTCATTCTGACTGTGTGCAATTGGATAAGAAACTGAAAATGTCTATAGTCTTATTAATGAAATACTCAGATTGAAGTTATACAAAAAAAGACACTTGTAATTTTTATGGCAAAGCATAAAAAGATTTCAAAGATATAAATGAACCCCATTTTACCTTTTTATGTGGTACTTTGGTGTTTTAAGAAATATGTCTGACTAAATGAAATCTCGGAAATATGCGTAAAGCTGTGGTTCTGCTTGACGGACCTCAACATCATGCTTGAGGTTGAGATTGAGAATAATACACCAGCAGAAAACAGTTTGGGCACCATATAGTTTCGACAAACTGGTCGCAGATGTTTTTCCATAGTTTCCTGCAGAGTCTTTACAGTTTCTCTCTCCAGGATCCATCTGGAATCTCTCTGCTCCCCCAACGAGGGGTCACAGAGATGGACCTGTTCGCAGACTCTTACCTCAGGCTCCACAAATGTTGTGCCAGATGTAATGCAAGCACCATGTCAAAAATAATGTTTTCTTTCCTTTACTTTCAAGAGCAGCTGAAGGTTTCTTGGACTCGCTGCATTTAATCTTTACATTGTAAAAAAAAAAAAATTTGAGAAATTCTACCATTCTATATGTTGAAGGATTATAATAACCCCCCCCCAGTGACTATTCTGATTGCTCTTTGCCAACATCAGTTCTCATGCACTGCTGTGGCCACACGATGCTGTGGTGTAAGGATTAATTCAAAGCTGATCTCACTTGATTTATATTCATCTCACTGACACAGCACAATCAGAGCTGCGCCGAAGGCCATTTAACATGTGCTTGTTATGAATTAGTTTTCTTGTTAGCGGATCAATACAACAATACTGCTGGATGAAAAACAGAAATAGAACGTACTCGGGTCTGACAGGATAGCGTCTGTCTTGGGTACAAACTGGTCGCAGCGGAGTCCGTGGTAGCCCTCCTTACACCTGCGGGACAGAGGGGGGGGAGGGGGGAGAGGAACAGAGGAAGATCTAAGATTAAAAGCGAGACAAACCGAGCAAGACAGCAATAAAATACAACATGAATTATCAGCAGGAGAGACTTTCAGATAAGGAAAGTTGAGTGCGGGGAAAACCCAGACGGAAGAAGACACATAATGGACGGTAGGAGGTGGAGTGCTCACCGAGGACTGAGGTGGTGGACAGAGATACACGGAAACTGTCAAGAGGGGCGGGGCGAGAAGAAAGAGAGGAAGGGGGAAGATGGTTGGGCAGGCCTGAGCAGCGCCTGCACTCTCGCTGATAGCACATGATTGACAGGAATGCCAGGTCCCAGTGGAAGAGACGGGGAACTGGGATGAGGAGCACTTGGCGCGATGCAGGCGGCGCAAGATCTACAGCGGAACAGTGAGCAGCCGTAGTTGGAAGCTTCATATAAACAAAGTCCTGGCAGAGTCCAGATATTTGCCTTCATCGTCAAATAAATATCCCTGCACGGTTGATGCCTGCAAATCCCTCAGCACCTGTCATCAGTATACCACCTGGAAATATGACATCTGAAATCTGGGCTCAATATGTTGCAGAAAAGCAAAAAAAAAATCAAGCATTCTGCATTATGATGCATATAAAGCGATTAGCCACCACATTAAAACAGGTGAATGCTCTCTAACGTGGCAGATCGGTGTATTTTTTGCCACAGTCGAGCCACAAAGCCGCTGAAAATAACGAGTTTTTAAATCACATTACCGACGGCGGAGAATGAACTCTCGCCGCAGATTTACACCAATTAGTCAAATCAGTCTATAATTCTTGTTAATAATCAGGCGTTTTCCCAATAATAATTAGAAAAGTGTCACAAAAACTTGGAGTCGCAGAATCAAATAAAACACGGGACAATGAGTTTGGACCGTTTCCTCAGGACTCAGCCACAGTTTGGCAGAATCCTCAATAAGAATTGAGCGTTTTCTTCTTCTCTATCTTCCGCACTGTGACCGCATCCAGTGGGCTGATCCGTCCCTCTGCTCTGTCACGGCTTAGGGGAGACAATCAGAGGATTTGCTTTGATGTGTCTGCTTCAAAATAAACTTGTACATGAGTGAGCGACACGTCAGAATTGTCCGTGTTTTCTTTATTCCATCAGGCATCAGACTTATTGGCGATAAACTGTGTGCGTGTGTGTGTGTGTGGAGGAAGATTACACTCACACGTTGTCCATCAATATCTGTCCACTACATTTCTACCTGCGTCGTGGATCCCACGTTCAGGATAATGTATTGGATGAGTGGCAGGCAAGAAGTGAATCGTTTATTCTTACTTAGCTTGGCTCTGAGGACAATGAAGTAAAAAAGAAACGACAAAACAACAACGCTGCCAACAACAACGATGACGACGACGAGTGAGCGAAGTAAAAACAAACCGAGCAGCAGTGGAGATCACGAGTTGTTGGTTAAGGCCGGGATCAGAGTGAAAACTGTGATAGATTGTCATATTTCTGCAGTTTTTACGTCTCGAGCTGCAGTTTCAGCTCAATTTGTTCGGCTCAATATGTGCAGTTTATTAGCTCGTCTGTTTGCTTTGTGGAGCTGCACGACTGATGGAAATAAATAGAATACTTTCTGGTCTAATTTCGGCTGAGAGCTGCTGGTACTGCTAATGCAGCTGCCGTACCACTTTCATTAGGTGGCCGTTTTTTTCCAGTTTGCACCTGTTTAGTGAATTTTCTTTCTGCTTCTTTCTGCCGGGGGTGGGTGGAGCTGCATAAGTGAGGTTGCACATTAGGTGATGCAATTTTAAGTCCATTTCCAACTCACACAGACCACCTCGAAGCACAAAATCTAAAATCATTCAGCGAGGTATCTCAAATGTTCAGCAACTCTGTATTTTTACCCTTTTTAAAAATGTTAAATATGCAATATGTAACTTCAGCAACTAGAGGTCTCTCAATCAAATAAATAAAAATAGACCTATAGTTTGAGGATGTTGTGAGGCAGTGCGGGATCATGGGAGTTTTTCTCACCACCATCAGACGCAAATCGTGTTCACAGATGAGGTGAGTTTTATTCAGATAACGTGTTAACAGGTAAAAAATGAGTGTAAAAAGAATTTCCCCTTGAGGGATCAATAAAGTATCTCTTCTTCTTCTTGAAACAGGAGGGACTAGCAGTGTGTTTCTCCTTTGACATTTTCCCTGGTAGTTAAAAACCACAGCTAATAACGCAATTAAAATGAAAAGTCTCGTTAACTTGAAGAAAAGAGTGGATATCTCTGTGTTTGAACAACGTTGGAAACATGTTGGATGATGTGAGCACACGAGTTCAGTTGTTTTTAGGCAGTTTAATCGTCTTGAACTTGAAAGATGTAGAAGAAAATACCTTGATGGTAATGACGGATGGGCCAGGCAGCGAATGTGGAAAAGCTTTTGAAACCTCAGTGTCGCTCACAGTGATCAGCCCCGCTGTCGAGCTGCAGGGGCGTGATCATTGAAACGGTCATTTTGCGTTAGGTGGCAGTAAAAATCTCTCTAACTGCACCTTTTAAATAGTGGCGCGCATTATTATCAAGTGATGTGTGAAAAATATACCCCAAATTAAACCCTTTGAATCTTCAACCTCGCACTCTGTGTCATTTTATTTCCAAACTAATAAGCAAAACACGCACAAACACGCACAAACGCACACAAACGCACACAAACGCACACAGCCTGTTCGGTGCAGTGCTCCGGCAAAGGAGGGGATAAAGAACTTGATTTTCTACTGTCATGGTTTCTCCTTTCACAGACTTTTTCCTCTAATCAACTTCAAAAAATACGAATGCAAATACCCTCGTAATCTCCAACCACTCTCTCCCCGCTCTATATTTCATGCACACACAAACACACACGTACGTACACATGATTATGCTGAGCTATGTTGTCCCACAGCATGACAATGACAATTTTGGCATTGAATAACAGGAGGGTGGCACGGTGGATCAGTGGTTAGCACCGTCTACTCGTCTCCCATCAGTTGGACTATCAGCGTCATTGTTCGTAAATCACCCGATATGTATTTCAGGATAAAAATCTGTAAAAATCAACATAATTTAAGTGAACAGAAACAGATGCATTAATGGAAATCCGAAACCGAATATCCATTTTGAAAGTTATCGTTAATCACCACAGAGACAGACCATTAAATCAGAGCGGGCATTTACAGTGAAATGGAATATGCAAAAGAACAGTCCAAATGACTGATGCAAAGATATTAGATTAGTTACCAAATTAAAACTGCTTTTGTATGCGAGAAATTAAGTCGGGACCACAGAGGGAGAGGGGCGGAGTACTGACACGTGCATCCATCTTACAGCCCATGTTCAGACTGCAAGTTTCCATTGAGAATGTATTCACATGCATATCAAGAGAAACCTGTAGCTTTGACTCCACGTATAATCTTTGAGCATCCCTGTGTTCTTAAACTGATTCCTCTTGTACAAAACACATGTTCTTCTTCAGTCAGCGTGTCTACCTCAGCGAATCAGCCAATGATCACACCGCAGCAGTCAGGGAGGCAACCTGAGGCAGCCAGTCAGCTTCCAAGGGTGAATCCAACCCCCTCCCCATCACTCTGCTCACGCCCAGGGACAGAAGGTGTGAGGTAGCAGCGCCGCCTTGTTAGTATTCTGAATCACAAACCCAAAGGCAGAAAGCCTGTCTGGCTATCTGTTTACGTCTGGGCCCGCTCTCTGTTTGTCTACGTCTCCATCTCTCCGCTCCTGCCGCCTTTGTAGCACTGCGAGGCGAGGCTGAGCCATCGCTCAATGAGATGCAAACAATGCTTTGTAAAAGTGTTTGTGTGAACATGGCGTTGAATGCCTGAATAGCTGATAAACAATATGAGATAATGATGCGCTTTGAGTACGCGTTTGCGGCGTGCATCTGTGGCGAGGGGGGAAAACGGGACGAAAAGGGCTCGTATTCATGTGTGTGCACGTTGGAGTGTTTTAAGAGGGGGGTAAACATCTCGCGGTGAACCCAGATGTGTGTGTATTTGTTGAGTGAAGCACACATGACAGCTTCTTTGAGTGTGTATGTTTGTATCCTGCAGCCACTGTGTGTGTGTATGAACAGCAGCTATAGACCGAGAGCATGTTTTCCCCTTGCGGCTGTGAGAGTACCCAGCTGCTTTTAACACATGTTCCATTCACCGAGAAAACACACCTCTAAATCTGGAGGATGACGGAGGGGTGGGGATCACTACCTCATGACTAATTACCCTGCCTGTTAATTAGCACGAAGAAAAATAAAGGATGGCTCGAGAGCAAGGGGAAGGCATGAGAGGTTCAAGGAGGAGAGAAGGTATGGGGATGTGACGGAGGCGACAAATCTTTTAATTTTTGCTTCCTACGCCCATCCATATTAGCTGCCATATGTCCTATAGAGTAACTCCATATGAGGTGTAAGTGATGAGGCGCAGGGGAGGCAGTATGGCTTGTTGGAGGTGGGAATTGCTCCTGGAGTTGCTGAGCAGGCGTGCAACTTGCTTTTGGGTGCAAAATATCTGGTTGTCATTGATGCAGGATAAATTGTCGAATGCAGAGTTCAGAAAGGGGTTTAATCCCTCACTTTGAGCAGCGTTTTGTTGACAAGCCATTTTAGCGACGTGTGCAATTCTGCAGCACAGCCTACGGTGGTCTGATAAAATACAGTTCAAGTTTTCACAAATGAGTTGAGTGATTTTGTTTGTAAAAGAAATAAATTAGTCAGCTGGACGGCACGGTGGCGCAGTGGTTAGTACTGCCGCCACACAGGTTACTTGTTCAAATCCTGGTTTAGTTGTTGCCTTTGTGTTTCTGCAGAGTATTTCCTTCCACAGTTTAAAGACATGGGGTTAGGATAATTGGACATTCTCGATGGAAGCATTGAATGGTAATTTGTCTCTATGTTTCAGCCCTGCGATGCACTGGCGACCTGTCCAGGGTGGACCCCGCCTCTCTCGCCTATGTCAACTGGG